TGGCTGTCAGACATACCAAGATGTTTCAAAAGTTGGACGCTTTGAATATCCTTTCAGATACTTAAAGAATTTAGGTGTCAAAGAAGAAAAGTTTGGACGTGTACCCACCATATATCATCAGCTTTGTTAACAGAAGACAAAACGTGTCATTGCAGATAAAGTGATGTTTTTTTTAGCGCATAGCGGTTTAGACTGGTAGTTCGGCCGAGGTTCGAATTCCCGCGAACGGGCTGGCTGCATGGGTTTTCGTGGTTTTCCCATGTGTACGTGTATGCAGCCAGTTTCCCTAAAGTCCTCCACGAAGGCATTCCTCCCTAGGCAATAGCCTATGGCTTTTCCTATTAAATAACCAAAACCTCTTGAGAACAGCCTTTCTTCATCTCATACCTTCAAAATGTAGCCCTCTAAAGTTTGATAAAAGCTCTGACCAAATACTGAAGGATTGAAGATTTTAGTTACGCAAAGGATCTGCCTATGCCTTGTGAAGAACGCTAAGAAAACAACATCACTGAAAAATCAACGCCCCATGCAACCAGCCCGTTTAACCGGAATTCGAACCCCGGAGTGAACTACCAGTTGCGTTTTACCGCCGGCGTTTGTGGGCCTTTATGAAATGGAAGCGATAACTTTATAAAATGATGTCAAAATACCAAGGATGTTTCGAAAAGTTGGATGCGTTCATATACTTCAGAATGCCGAAGAAAAAGCAAGAATAAAGCAGAATGCCGACGACAACTGATTAAGCAGTGTATGCAAGTCCACGCCTAAGTTAAATGTCGGTACATCTTCTTATTATATTCTTCTAACGGACACTAAAGCGTGTTACTGTGCTTACTGGCTTTTCTCTTTAATTATGCAGTTTTTAATGCTTGTAGTCGGTTCACAAGTATTCTTCCGAAAGAACGCATTCAAATAATAAAATCATAATCTGGAATTTTATATAATAAATATTTAAAGCCAGTTCGAATAAATAAATAGAAATTTAAAAATAATATTGAAGGACAATGCACCGATTTCTTCGTCTCCTAAATTTGGCGCCAATTTTCAAATTTAATATTTAGGCATAATTTGAGGCGTAGAATGCAAGAAATGAATGGAAAAAATTGGGAGGATATATAATACAACAAGACCACACAGAGCGAATACCGATTGTTGGTGGGTCCTAGTCTCACAAATCAATATTAGGAAAAATAGCCAAAAATGATGCGCTCAGTATATTATCTAATATAGTATCAGGAGCCGGTAAGTACAGGCGGCTGTGTGCTGGATAGCATAAGAACGCATAATTGACATTTTCGTGATCAGGCCCAATTAGAACTGGATGAATATATATCGTTATCCCATTCTTATGTATTTATTTATTTTTTTTGGTTAAGCAGAGTAAAGGGACCCCAAACCCCACCACCCCCCCACCCCCCCCCCCACCCCCCCCCCCCCCCCCCCCCCACCCCCCCCCCCCCCCCCCCCCGCCCCCCCCCCCCCCCCCCCCACCCCCCCCCTCCTCAACACCAGGACGAGGCCAAAGCAGCCGAAAAGACCCCCCGACACCAAAACGGCAACAACAACAGGCGGCGGACGTCCCCCCCTACCGCCCCCCCCCTGCGGACCCAAGCCCCAACCATCAACCTGGTGCGGCGTCTCGGGGGAAAAGAAGCGCGAAGAGCGAGAGAAGCAAAAGCAGGCGGGAAGCGACAAACAAACTAATCTGAACGCACCCCGGGGGGGGACCCGAGAGGGGGGGAAGGGGGACGTGGTGTGGCGGCACCTGCCCTGTTCCATTACCCCAACCGCCCGGGGGGGGTTCGCGGGAGCGGCTAGTCGGGGGGGTAACGGCTAAGGCTCAGGGGCCTGTGGCGGGGCGAGGCGTACCGCGGCCGGGCGAGAGCGCGAGAGAGGGACGGGCAGCCGTGCCGCGCCTGACGCAGCCCACACGGCTCGCGTGTGGGGTTGTCCCCATGGGGCAGCGGGGCTGGGGACGGGGGGGGCAGGACGAGAACAAACGCGTCTAAGCGGGCGTTCCGGAGCAAAAACTGGGCCGCTGAAACCGGAGTGGCCCTTCAAGTGAATTATCGAGTGAAGGCAGTGCGAGAAGCGTTGGGACAGTGTTGGGTGTGCGACGACTCCCGGAGTAGAGGGCGAGGGCCAAAAAGGGTCCACCAGGCGGGGTTCCACCGGATGCAATGAGGGTACACTGTCAGTGGGTGCGGGGGCCGGTCCGCGTAGGCGGTCTGCCGGGTGCGGCCTTGTTAGCCTAGCCGGGGTCCCTAAGGCGGGTCCCGGGGGCGAAAAAACTCGCGAGGCCCGCTGGGTTGGTGACGGTTTTTAGAAGGGAGGGAAGGGGGTGGGACGGTAGGGGCAATGTCGCCAGTTTCTTGGCGAGCGCGGTGTGGCCGGAAACGTGGGTGTTTTCCAGCGGGGCGTGGCCTGCCTTATGAGCCCTGTTGGCTGGGCGAGGTATCTAGGGGGGGGCCGGGTGGTGTCTTCAGATCCGAGCGGCGCGGGTGGCTTTGGGGGTCCGGATTGGGTCGTTCGTATTGCCCGGGTGGGCGGGCAGAAGACGAACTTGTCTAGGGGTCGATCCGACCTGAAAAGTTAGCAGGAGCGAAAGGGGTGAGCTCCGAGGGCGTGGGGACCTAGAACACGTGGAAAGAAGTGTTCTCCCCGGGCAACGTTGTTGGGCGGGGGGGTGCTGTGGGCGAGAGAAAGGCGGAGCTCTGGATCATGTCCGTGGCTCTGGGGGGGGGGGTTCGGTTGGGCCGTCGGCGCGGTTCTGACCGCCGGGCCGGGTTGCTCCGCCAATTGTCACGGGGCGCGCGCGCGTGGTGTGTGTTGTGTAGGGGCGGGTTGGCTCGGGGGGGCGGGCGAGGGGCAGGCGCGACGACCGTCAAGTCACTGAAGGTTGGCCGGGGGTGGCCTACTCGAGGAGGGGGGGAGGTTTTTGGTACCGCCGAGCGTGGGCGGAAGACGAGCGGTTGGGGTGCGGTGCTGGCGGGGGGCGTTTTTGTTGATAAGGGTCTTTGGCGTGGTAATGGATAAACGCGTGCGTGGCCCGAGGGTGGGAAGCGGAGGAACTGCTGGCGCCACGGGGGCCCCGGATCGAGTTCGTTAGGTTTCGTGGGCGGAGAGGAAGTAGTTTGATGTGTGGCCAAGAAGCGTTCCGTCGCGCCCTTTATCCGTTTCGCTCAGGACCACGGGGAGGTACCCGGAAAGTGTGTGGCGCATGGGGTTTCGCGCCTGGGGGGCGGAGGCGAGGGGTTGGCGCAAAGTGGAGAGTGGGGTGATGGACCTTTAAAGGCAACCTCCCCGCCTTTCCCGCGTCCTCTGTGACGGGCAAGGACCGACAGCAATAGCGGGCACTGAGAGGAAGGGGGGGTGCTGGGATTCACGGTCCAAGGGGGATCGGGCGAAGCACGAGACCGCAGTATGGGTTGGTGTTTGAGCTCTAGGGGTTCGAGTGAGGACGGCAAGTCGGGGTGGGGCGCGAAAGAGGGTGTTGAGATGGGAGGAGCCGTCGTCGTTACCGACCGGTTGGTGCGGTTAGGTGGAGGCGCAAGGAAACCCCCCGCAACCGTTCACCTTTTTATCATAAGCACTTAGAAAGCTTGTAGGAAATAATCTAGAGTGTCCATCATCATTTAGTAATTTTAGAATTTCTTTACTAATTCTGATATACTCCGGTTTTGATGTTCTATAAATTAACGGGAGCCCAATGTCAAACTAATTTTTTCTTATGCAATTCTTCATGAATAAATTTATGCATGTTTGCAGATCCAATGTTAAATTATTTCTGTATTATTTGATAGGTACTGTGCTAATATTTTTGGCCGACACATTTTCTGGCCTATAAGAATTTGTTACATATTTTTCATTCAGGAAAGAATTTCGACCTCTGTGAAGTTCTATGAACTAGAGGCACGATATTTCCACGTGCAGTGTACGCACAGAACATATTCTTATTGTTTTAGACCTTCTTTAAAATCATAGAAAACCATAATGCGAAAATGCTTTCGCGTCAGTTTTGTTTTCTTTTCTTACAAAAATTAATTCTACCATAGATGAATTTAAATCATTACCCCAAATTATCAGCTAAGGATACAAAAGAGTTCAAATTTACATATTAATAACGGTTTTTAGCCCATATTGTCTGCCTTTACCTCAAAATTTCAAACTTACCTACGTATGATCAAGAGTATTGTGACAACTAAAATTGTTCTTTATTTTTCATTTTTAGTGCATTTAACTGTAATCATGCACGCTGAAGCAACTTTCATGTATATTTTATTTTATGTCTTGTAGTCCATAGAAGGGGAATAAGAAAAATGACCACCTTTAAAAGTAGGAAAACTGTTTCTTTATTTAGCCTAAAAACTAAGTTTAGGACATCACCTTCTTTCACAGCAATATATTAAATTATTAGATGAATTTCTAATAATTTAATATGTTAATTATTATAATTTATTATTTTCGTTCCTAGAATTCAAGTTGAAATTTACTGGTATTCCTCTTTGATTTTTTTTTTTTCCATCGTTGGCAGTCAGTATTATTAGTTTCCCATTAATAGATTTCTGGAAAAATGCCATAACTTGGTAAAGATACAAAGATTCCAAACCATTTTCGTTTGGAAAACTACTTTTCATTCTATCACACAATGCAAAGTGTTAATGAAGGATATATGAGAGAAATCAGTAAAATTTAAACGTTCACTGAAACTACTATGTTGAATTTTGAAATTTTTACTGTGAAATATTTTACTGCATATACACATGTATATAGAATTCCAAGAAAATCGACTTCATAAAATTAAATTAAAAACTAATTTTAACATTTGGTTCAAACAAAAAAGAGAAACAACCTAAATAAAACCATACAGTAATATGCACATTTCTAGAACTATATAAATATATTTAAACATTTCGCAAAACACTAAAAATTCTCTCCTGATCTATTGAATACAGCTACGCCATGTTGTCGGACTAAATAATAACATGTATTCCTTGCAGGGTGCTTTTTGTGTTGTGCTTGATGAATGTGGTGGGCAGCATCGTCTTCCTACTTCAGGAAAGCCTCAGCAAGGAGTCCATTTACATTAACAGCATCAATAAAGATTCGGTTGCAGGAATGGTTGAAGACCCTGACTACTTTCCTCACTATCCACGTGTCACGATATGCCGGAGACCTTCCTACAGAACAGGTGAGCGAGTCTCTCCTTCAAATTATCATGTTTGTCAATCATGTGCATTTCGTGGCATTCATGGCATTCATCTGAAATCATGCTATAAAACTGCATTTATCATGCATTTTGCATTACAGTTTTATGGGTAAAACTTTTGTTTTCAGCGCTCTAAAAACTTAGCAAAATTTTCTATTATCCATCCCTAAATAAAGCCCATAAGCAGTCGAGAGGTTAAATCGCTGAACACTGGTTCGGCCTTGGGTTCGAAGCTAGCCGAACGCGCTGATTGCATTTGCGTTTTCGTGGATTTCGCCCGTGTGTAACGTGCATACGATCACTTTTAGTTTCTCTTAAAAGTCCTCAGCAAAGCATTCCTCCCTTTGGACGCCGCCGTAATCAAAATAATAAAAGTAAGGAAGTAAACCTAAGTAGGAAGGAAGCCCTAAGTAGGGAATTAATTTCTATCTGTTTGCTTCCCCCAGGTCGACTGGGAGCAATCCCGGCGTTCTGGTAAGATCAATACTTAGACACACTCGACTTCTGGGAAAAATTAACAATCTTCACAGTGACTCGAACCACTGTTTATACGGTGGTAAGTTTAAGCTCGGCAGGAACCGTATGGTACACTGTCTTATCTGCTCCTTCGTTGTGGAGAGGCTACATGGGTGGGTATTGTAGATGGTCTTTGAGGGTTTGGCTACCCTTGGTCAACATTGGGGGACGGTCGATGTCTAACATGCGTTCTAAGTTTTTTCGGTGGATTCGTTGCAGTCCACCATTGTTCTAAGCGTTACAAAACCCAAACTTTTTGAAATTGAAATTGTCCCCCTGGGTTGACTGGGAGGGAGTTATGCCTCCTTGGATCGCCCTAGGTGTTGAGGGAAATTAACCGTGTAAGGCAGCCTCGAGCTAAGCCAGATCTTGGTGCCCCTTCCTCCTAGTGTGCTGTGCTGAAAGATGTCTCTAATGCAGAATAATACAGACAGACACGTCTGCCTATATTTCAGTCTGACACTCTCACGTGTCTTGAAAACACTATGCATTATTAAGGTACTATTGTTTCTTTTAATTTTTAGGGTTATAGTGTTTTACTTTCAGCCAGTTTACTGTTTGCAAACTTTGTAATAAAAGGTATGTTTTTTAAGTTCGTGCATTTATGCTGTTTGTCATATTTCAACTAAGTCATAGATAACTTTTGCTTGGAAATTGATCGATAACCTACAACGTGCTTTATTTTAAGAAATTAATCAATGAACGACTCATGTTGATTGAAAGTTGATCTTTTTGCTACAGAAGCGTTCTTTTTAAAATGTTAGCTAAGAACTGCAGCTAATATTATTGTGAGGCCCTGACGTCCTCAATGAAGAATGAGAACGCCAATGGCAGCGAAATAAAAAAAAATACGATTATTCTATTGTAATAAAAATGGATCACGTGCGGAATGGTTTAAAAATAAAGCAAAAATCTTTAGAACAGTATTGTAAGTTACATGAGCGATATAGTTGTACTAGATTACTCTGAATAAAAAAAAGTCTAAAAAGGAATAGTTTTATTTGACGTTTGGTGACGACTAATGAAAGAGAAGAACCCACAATCATCGGTCATAACAGTTACTTTATAACTTTATAGCTAGTTATTACTTAATAACTTATTAACTTTTCAGCTTAATAAGTTAATCTGAAGAATTACCCTTATAACATAAACTTCAACAGAAATCGGAAATCCAAGAAAATTCAAGTTATGGTTCCAAATAAGATTCGAGCGATGTGTTCCCCTAAGCTTCTTTTCAAAGAGGATATCCAAAGTGCAGGTCAATAAAAAGGAATGCGATATCTGAGCGTGATTTGTCAAATATCACTCAGAGTAACATTTGAAGATCCAGTGTAGATAGTTAAGTTCAAGCTATAACTTTTCAAAACTACCATTTGCAATGAATTTTCTGACATGCGCGGCACAGCGTATCTCTCATAACTTCAGAGGACATAATTCTGGCTTTAGATAGAGTTATAGTTAGTCTTTTTTAAAGTTCGAATAATCTAAAAGTGTAAGATTAGAGAAATGTAGTTGACATGTTGAAGATATGAAGGAAAGTACACACATGTATCATTCTTTAAAGTGAAAAAGGTCATTTTTATATATCTCATCCGACAAATGGAGAAAGAAAAGCGACAAACAAAACAGCAAAGTTCAAAATATTATACATAGAAACAGTAATAGCAAAGGCATGCATTCAAATTTTATATATCTATGTATAACTCAAACTCAGGTCATTTACACGTGTACATTGTTGTTTGCCTGATATCAGAGCAAGCCCACGAAATTCATCTTAGCAAGGATGCGAGATTGTGCCTGTCGCTGGTAAGAGCCTTACTTAACTATCTGCACCATACAGGTGGCAGTAAGACTTTGCTCAATTTCGCCCCCAATTTTGAAGGAAAACACTCCAAAGGGAAAGGATCCGAGGGTCTCCAATGTCTCTTATCCTACCATCAAACTCTCGAGAAGACTTTAGGCTCACCGCATATTTGAGCGCCCCCATAATACATCCAATTGATAGAAACCTTGCAACGTTGCTGTGAGTAAAAAAAAAATTAGCACCATATGCTACTTACTTTATTACAGAATGTATATTTTTATTCCGTGTGTGTAATATTCTTTAACATGACAGATAAACGAAAAAGAATTATATTTTCAATTAAAAACGGGTTACTTATTATCCATTGTTTAGAAAACAATGAAACAGCAAGTGCAATTAGCCCGCAATTTATGATGTAGAAAAATTAACATTTACAATGCAGCTATTCCTTAAAATGCTCTTTTCTGATATGGTGAACTGGATGAGGGGTGTGGCGCCCTCTCGGATAGCCACTAGAGGTTGGGACACTAATAAGCCGTTTAAGCGGGCCTCGCAGCTGCCAGATTTGGGAGCCCCCTTCTCTGGTATAATGTAATGCTACTATGAATGACCTAAAGTGTAACGGCGAGTTATCTCCTGCACCAGGAATGAGAAATTTCCAAACAAATCTATAGAATCATCATCCAACATCCTTTTAGTTCGGGCGCCACTGTAGAGATATTAGGAATTTTTTGGAAGCAGGCAAGATGAAAAAGGAACAATCGCCTTCGCCGGAAATCGAACCACGGATCTCTAGAATACCGGCCCAGCGTGCAGAACCACTACACAACGAAGGCACGCTAGGAAGGCGGGAGAAATACCTTATAAATGTTTAAAAATAAATTTTTATTTAGTTAAAATAAGTTTATTTAGTCGAATAGTCACTTCTTATTTAATTAAGCAATGCTTGAGGACAGAAGTTTTATTTGAAGAAGTGAATTTTATAAGTATACTTTAACAATCGAGTCCTTAGTGTAATATTTTTGTTTCCCAATTTACTTATAATCTTGTGATTAGATTCATATACCTTCCAGATCTCAATTCCAGCCTGTTGCAACTTCTCGAATACGCTAACATCGCTCTCGGATTTCCGTTCTCCGGGCTTACCCCAAAAGAAATCAGTGATCTGATATTAGTTGCCAGACATCGCATTAATGCTAACCGTGGCCGTTTACCACCGGACGTGGTGGATTTTCAAGAAACACTCGATAATCTCCAAATCGAATACGACAAGTACAAAAATTCCACCGAAGATTTCAATCTGAAAAATTTTGTAAACGACAACAGTTATAAGTGAGTTTCCATGTTTATTCTTGAAGCATTTTAAGATTATTTTAGAGATAGATGGAATTACATAATTAATTTAATATTGCATAATTTTGTTAGCTTTTCATCTTAGAATATCTGTCAATCTATCTATATATCTATATCTGTATGTATGTAAAATATAAAAATACGATGGCTTTGCTCTGCTCGAACAAGCAACCTCTAATAAACTATCCGCAATTTCAGGATCTTTCCCCAGACCAATACTTTCGAGAACATTCTGGCATGTTATGTAACTGCTAGTATAAATACAGAGTTCACGCCCTTTTTCGGCAGACTGCTTTTACCTCCCTCTCTTCCCATCTGTCTCCCTTTGTTCGAATAGTATGACGCAGTAAATTTAATCTTATTTAGTTTAAACCACTATTGAATATGCTATTTTGGAGAATTTAATATAAATAATGACCTGCCGTTTGAAATGAATAAAGATATGGAGCTATAAAGTTAAATTCTTCTGTGTCGTCATTCCTGTGCCTGACTGACAAATTATTACATATATATAAGCTTTTTAAACAGTACTACTAAAAAATATTTTTAGATTTTGTGACGTTCCTAATCTTACTACTGTCATAAGAAATTACTGCATTCCTTCCTGCGTGCTCTCGCAGTGTAATTGGTAGCATGTCCAGCTAGCAGTCGTATGGTTTGCGGTTCAAATCCTGGCAAAGAGTTACTAAATTTCTCACACTACCTTACTTCGAAAACTATTTAATGTCTCTTCATTGTCATAAAAAACATTGGGAATGTTTCTATAAAGTACATTTCAGCTTATTGGACAATGTTTACTACATTTCCTTCTAACTTCCTTTGACTGGAGTGCTTTCACTCCATCATTTTTTCCAATCCTCAAAATAAGCCATTTCCATAAACTCTACATAATTCGCAGCGAATTTATTCGGTTGCATCTGTAGAATCAACGCTGATCATGAAGTGGCAGTTTTAAGCATGGAAATACGAAAAACGTGGCATAATACCACATGAAGTGAATATGGCACTTGGTCATATATGTGTTGAATTTATGGACAGACATTCCTGGACAGCAAGAACACTATGAGCAGCTGAATTATCGTAGTGCAAAGTTCGCGAGATCTCGTCCAACAATTCAAGTCATTCTCTAAGATTTTACTTCAGGTAAACACCACTAAATGCTAAGAAAATATTCTTTGTCAGCAATTTAGCCAGTTGGCAGAAATGCACGATGCACAAAGAAAACATCAGTATGTTTTCTTTGTGCATCGTGCATTACTATGAGTTTTTTAATAATAAATAAAACAATAAATAATAATTAATTAAAGTAAAATAAATGTGAAGAGATGACAAAAATTAATAAACTGACATCATTGATTTTTCGCGTTTTCTGCTCTCAAATAAACACAACGACTCTATAAGTGACGCCTGACTAAAATCCTGGTGCCCGATAATATTCATGATCACATAGATCTGGCGACAACCTTTCCTCCTACCCTTTAAGTGGGGGAGAACATAAGAAATTTTCTTATGTTAAGAATTTTTGATCGACTTTGAAGTCATCTTTTCTGTGTTGCTTCACCTTCAGAGTGTCAATCACTTAAAATTGTAATTTTTGTCTGTTTACAAAGACGTATGTCTGCATGACGAGAGGAAAAAAACCTTTTGAGAAGAAAGCATTAGCGAAGCAATAGAATGTTTTTACATTTACAGTATGTAAATCAGGAGTAGGCATCAAGGAGGCAGCCTGTAAGTTTCACTATGCCCAATAATTATTTATGAATTCTCTCAAACTAAACTAAACTCAGTGGCGTAACAGCCCTAATGGGCCAGGGCCTGCAGTGCCCGAAATCTACTTTCTTGACCGTGATCCCCCGGGGTACGTAAGCATATGCCCTGGACAAGTGGGCAGCTTAATCGCAGGACCGCCAGTGTTTAGTCCCCAAGCGAACTTGGTACTCATTTTATCGACTCAAGTGATGAAAATCAAAGAATGAAAGGCTGAGTTGATCTTGCCCAGCCCGGGAATCGAATCCTGGACCTGTGGTGCTGCTTCGCGATGTGCTAGCCACTGCGCCACCGGACCTCGTTCTCTCATATGTAAATTAGAAAATACTTACTAATCTAATTTAAAAATATTATAACAAAATATAATATCTAAATTTTTTAAATAAAAATTGTTACATATGGCTTTATTGGAAAGTTCAATCCAAGCATATAAATCAGCTCAAGTATCACACATGAACAGTGATAAATAATAAAATAGAACAAATATTTAAAGTAGAATCAGAATAAATGAACATGGGAACAAAAGTCAAAAGTTAAAAATTTAAACAACAAGGAAGGGAACATAAGAGATTACACGCAGTTCGTGGAAGCTCAGACATTCCAGTATAGTTTATTTATCTCGCCACGTTTCTGAGACTCTTATCTAATTCCGGGCATATAAGAAGATGCTCTGCATTCATGATGCCCGAATTGCAAATTTGGCATATACTAGATGGAAGGATGACAATTTTATTAAGATGATGTGCCATGCAATCGTGACCTGTTTGCAGTCTGAAGTTTACTGCAGCCTCTTTTGACAAAACGCTTTTCATGTGTCTTGAATGTTAGTCCAGGATTTGGCTGTTGATTTTGTTGCCTGGTCAGATTTCAGAGTAGCCATTAATTTCTCAAAAATATGCTTTTTAAGTGACTCTAGAGGAAGTGGTTTGCTGTCTTGTGGTGCAAGTGTTCCTCTCTTGGGTAGTGAGTCTGATTTTCCGTTACCCTCGATACCTACATGTGAAGGGATCCATTTAAAAACAATTGTTTTGTTGTGTTTATAAAGTAAGTTCAAGGTTTGTCTTATTTCTGAGGTAATCTGGGATACCTGTGTCATAATTTTTAACTACAGCCTGGATGGCTGCTTTGGAATTGACTAGAATAACTGTTTTAGAGAAACAATCGATCTTTGTCTTGAGGTTTTCCAAAGCCAAAGAGATTGGAAGGATCTCTGTATCAAAATTCGACATGAAGTGCCCCACAGGAGTACACTGGGGAAACAGTTTACTGTATACACCAGCCCCAGTGTTGTCTTGTATTTTAGAGCCATCAGGGTATACTCTAGTCCATTTAGGTTCAGGGTATTGTTCATATAACATACATAATGTGTTTGATTTTAATATTGCATTAGGAATGTTTTTCTTCCCCAAGTCAGATTATATCTAGCTGGTATCAAATACCAGCTAGATATAAAAGTAAATTTCATTAATTTGCATTACAGTAAATATGTATTTGACTTACTTACCAAGTTGTCTACAATTTTTGAATATTTGGACAAGCTGTTATGGCAGTCAATCTAGAAATTTGGTATCTTTCAATTGATAAAGTTCCAGTTCGTAATGTTGCTGTCTTATCTTCTTAATGCTCAGTTGTTATTCTTTCAGATGTAATGAAATTTTCATCGACTGTGTGGCTCTCGTCTTAAAAATGAACTGCTGCGAAGTTTTCCTTCCCTCTCTGACACCGCTTGGGCTCTGTTACGAAATGGTCCTTGACGAACAGATCTTACAGACGATGGCAAATGCCAAGGTCCATTTTACGTTATCAATCGACTTGAAAAATCCTCCACATATAGGTAAGATCGCCTCCTAATTTTGAAAATCAGAATAATCTTTCATACGGTATTATCGAATCTCTATGAAAGATTATGATAAGTAGTGTGAACAAATGCAGTGAATCCTCTCTAAGGCAACCGGTGGTAGCAGATGATTTTAATCTTCTGGGAGGTCGTCGTCTTGGAGAGGTGATGTGCACCTAATTGCTTGTATTTTGAGATATAGCGGTCACTTTTTGAAATGCTCTATTATGGAGGAGAAATTCTCTAAAAGAGTTTTTTAATAATAAATAAAACAATAAATAATAATTAAATAAAATAAAATAAATGTGAAGAGATGACAAAAATTAATAAACTGACATCATTGATTTTTCGTGTTTTCTGCTCTCAAATAAACACAACGACTCTATAAGTGACGCCTGACTAAAATCCTGGTGGCCGATAATATTCATGATCACATAGATCTGGCGACATCCTTTCCACCTACCCTTTAAGTGGGAGAGAACATAAGAAATTTTCTTCTTCCTCAGCACAAGTCTTAGAAGCTGGTCTGTCAGCGAAGAGCTGGAGTTCATATCCCCGTAAGGACTTCTCTGATTTCTCGTATTCCCTGCTCTTTTAAATATCTAATCGCTCTACAAGTTTTTTACGTAATGTAATTACAATTTAAAAGACAAATTACAAATCTTAAAGCTCATCGAATGGCAATAATTTGGAGTAGGTCGTGTTTAAAATGGCTGCGCCGATTCAGAATCCCGCCAAATGCGAAGTGCGCTCCGTCATACGTTTTCTTCATGCAAAAGGTCAGCGCCCAGCGGATATTCACAAAGAAATTGTTTCTGTTTATGGGAACATTATGAATTGACAAAATGTAACGAAATGGTGTCGTCATTTCTCTGAAGGTAGGACCGATGTTCATGACGAACAAAGAACAGGTCGGCCATCTGTGATCTCTGATGCCCTTCTTCAGAGAACAGAGGAGCAATTCGTGCGAATAAACGACTCAAATTGAAAGAATTGCATCAGATCATACCGGAAGTGTTCAATGACAACTCTTCATGAAGTTGTGAGACTGTTAAGTTAGGGTACAGGAAATTGTGTGTTAGCTGGGTTCCAACAGGCGGCAACCTTCTATGACTGTGGGATACAAAAGCTTGTGCACCGACTTAACAAATGTTTGGATAAAGGGGGTGATTTTGTCGAAAAATAATAAATAATCCAGTTAATAAGATGTAACTGACGTTTTTTATATAATTTTTTTTTTTTTTTTTAGTCCAAAGGGGCTTTTGTCCCTGAAGGACTATTGTTTTCGTTTTGCGATTTTGCGTCGGACTCCTATAAACGTCGGTTCACTTTTCAAACTGTTGCCACAAAATGTTAGAGTCCTGCATTATATTTGAAGAAATTAAATAATGAAAAATCTGCATAAATGATTGTCTATTTCTCGCATTGTGATAAAAAACAATGGTACATAGAGCCATCGAATTTTGAATGACGAAATCGTAATCCTACTGCGAATATGGGCATGTGGAAATCCCAAATTTGGAAATTTGTTTTATTATAGATGTTTTATTTTTTGTAAAACTTTAACGAATTTTTGATTACAAAACTCAATGCTTTAAAAGCGAGAAATGGCAACGTTATATAGAAAAAAAATACTTTTATCTCCAGCTCGCGAGTCTCTGTATATCGGAAATTCTAAAGATATGCTCGTAATTTAACATTATTTTGCGATATTGCTCTTGAACTGAATTTTATGGTTTAAGTGCGAAGGAACATGATATTTAATAAATAAAGGTAACACTCAAAATGTTAAAAAAACGCCCCTTTGGACGTACGTAATTTAAAATCTGAAAATTTCAGATTTTAGTTTTTTTTTTTTTTTATTTATTTATTTATTTTTTTTTTAAGGGAATGCGAGCCATTGTATCTTTACCTTTCGAAATGTTCTCGTAAATGGCGTGGTAACTGTTAAAAAAGTTGGCTTTTTAAAGTACTTCAATAAACACCTATCTAATATCTAAATCATGATAAATTAGTAGTTTGCTGCATAATTTTTGTGTTTCGGTTGTAATTTCTTAGCCATCATATCATGCTGTCACAATTATTTCTAGCTTTTGCTTTAAGAATGTACAAACATCACTGTTTGCGTTTTTTGAAATTACTAGTAATTACCTATTAGAGAGAAAGCTTTCCTATTATTTACTTATTGTGTGACTTATAAGACTCTGAAGTGATTTCGTGTTTCTCTGCTAGCCAATCGCCGTACTTTTTCCGACATTCAGCTTCCTAACCTAGTTGAAGCGTTTATTAAAACTAAGTTCTAACATTTTTGATTTTATCTCAGTAGTTGAAAATTTCCCTTTCCGTTTCTCAACTTTCCAAAATATGATTAGCGATGCTCTCATTTAAATTTGCTTTGCTGTCTGGAATGCGTAATACTTTATCTCAAAGTAACGCACGATGTACTTTTTCTTAGAATTGACAAAGGGAATTTGATTAATAGAGTAAAAATATTGACGAAAATATTCATCATATTTACAAAACTTTATGACTGAATTCACAGAGGAACAAGATTTAAAGAAAACATCTTGATCACTATTTAGCCAACTGCACACTTTTATTCTAAAGTTAAACATCTCTTGTCATATTTATAGAACTTAACTCATTGCTTCGTTGAAATCAGTTTGCTACATTTGGACTTCTTTGATTGCTTTTCGAAAAGGTGCTTCCTTTTCTCACTGGTCAGTCACTGAATCCATAATTCTGGGTATCTGCTAAATGAAACCGCACAAAGACTTTCAGTTCAAGTTTTCTTTCGTTAAGACTTTATTTTAATGGAAGCAAGCCACTAGTTATCGTTTATCAGTTATACTGGGATTGAGGGAATAGATTAAAGTTAAAACATTTTGCCGACGCACTGTGTACGGCCTGTTAAAGCAATGCCATGGAAGCGTATGCTACTACAGAGGGTATTTATTCATTTTTACAACAATTTTGGAGCCATTTAATTAATGCATAAAATGCAAGGAGTATTTTTAAATGTTCGATTTAACACTCTTTTTTGGGGTTTTAAGTGTGCATCATGGTTTCATAATAAAGGGCTTTTCGTAAAATTTCCAGGAGACACTGAATTCCATTCCTCTTCCATTACTTTCCAATCAATGGTCGTTGATTTTTCCAAAGAGCTCTTTCCAAAGGACCAATGGCACAATGTTCCATAGGTGAAACATTAGCAGATTTCGCAGAAATACGTTGAAAAGGTATATATGCAATACCTGCATCAGTAGTCATTTTTTCAAGCAGTAAAATGGTACTTTCTAAGTACGAATTGCTGCTTTGTCTTGATGAAGTTTCACTTCTTGCAAGTCATCGGGATAAAGAAATGTAATTCCTTTTGTAAATATCGGACACACAATTTTCCAATTTTCCATTGGTAGTACGTTGAAGTGATCTTAACATTTTTTCTATTCTTTTTATTTTCAGTTTCCCACTTCAAAATAATCTTGCGATAATCATAAACCTTATACTGAGACTTTCTTTGCATTCTTCATCACGATCACAATGATTGATCACTTGATTTATTCATCACGGATCACAATGTGTTTCAGTTCATTTCCCACTAAATAATTTTCATACAGAGTACTGTAAATTGTTCTGCCTTGAGCTACATGCCTCGGTAAAAGATGGAGAACATTATATTTTTTAAGTTGTAAATCTTTATTTATTACTTTATTTCTTGTTGCTATTGATGTATTAAAAATTTTGCAATTTATTTCGTGTCGGTGGATTTTTCTTATTAGCAACTATTTAACTTTAGAAACATTAGAAACTGTACATATCTTTTCCGAGTAATCTTTTAGAGTTTGCTTTCCACATAGAAAAAGTGCATAGGCAGTAATAATTGACGTTTTTTCAATTTCCGATTAATAATGCTACTTATTTTTCACTTAGAAATCTTAGTACGATGTATTTGACAACGTTTTTGAATCATAGAATAGGAATATTTTTCTTCGAACAGCGCAGAAACATATCCTTCAAGCGTCAGCTTGTTTATGGGACATTCTGATAGAACAATACATCTAAAAGTAGCAGACGATATTTCACATTTGAAATAATAAATTGTTACCAGAATTTTTTATTCCAAAACATTTGCTTTTTTCGAATTCTTTATGGAAATCGTTCCAGGAATGTGCAAACACCTTTTCTATGCGTGAAATCACGTATGAAAGAAGTAAGTTGAATATCCTCAAATACTTTATGGTAAAAAAGTTCAAGTAAATCCTTTGAAAAAAACACATTTCTTGCTGATCCACTATCCTCATTTTTTCTCTTTTTTTTTTGCAGAATGTAATCTTGTTAAACTTTATTCTTTTCCTTGTTGACATTACTTAATGCCTATTTTGTTCTGCGCAGATCGACCTTTGGAAGAAGGGTTCTTGGTTGGGTTCAGCGATCCGAATGCCGAAGGCACCGGCGCCATGATCCAGGATGTGGAAATGGCCATTCCTAACTACCTGACATACCTAAAAGTAAAACTCATCAGGGTATAGATATCGTTCTACATATTTCAATTTCGCTTAAAATAACTTTATAGAAGTTTAATCGCGTAGTTTCCAGATACCAGGTCAAATCACTCAACAAAGTGCACTGAAAGTGTTCGGTTGTAATAAAGCAATAAATTCGCTCAGCATCTGTAAAAATGGTTAAAACTTATTAGTTTTAATTGGTGATTTTGATTACATCTCTTGCTGCAAAGGCCATAGTATGTGATCACAGCTTATCGCCTAGGCTTGAGAAGGTCAAGCGTAAGACTCTAAATTTAAGGGCACTCCAAAATTATTCTATAATAATTGATAATCAGATTTTTCCCTCAAATAAAAAAAAGAAAGTGAACCTTCTGGCCTCTGGAAGCGCATCTTGCATAGGCCTTAGTCTATTTTAATCGAGCCGTGCATACGGTGCTTATACACCATAAGTGATAAATTTGATTTCGTCTTTTCTATTTTACTCAGCAAAGGATGCTTTATATCTTGCAAAAAGGAAGAGATCTAGTAAAAGCATATTGCATTGTCACCTATCTCTATCGATAGGCTCTATAGATCAAGATCTCTCTAGAGTTCGAGATTTATCTTCCGAGAATTTATCTCGGTAGGATAGGACTAGATCTGTCATACTCAACAACATTTGAGTAACGCGAATCTATCCGCAATTTTTCTGAATGTTAGGCAACTAAAATACATTTGCATTATATCAGAATATTAAAGTTTATTGCCTGTTGTTTCTAAGTATTTCAGTGCTTAATTATTTCCTTTTGCGTAAATAAAATTTTAGTTAATTTCGGATGAAAAGTTTTATTTCACTGGAAAGTAAAGAAACAAAAAGGATACACTAAATTTTAAAATATGACCTACGAAATATGAGCAGCTTTTTCAAAGAAGTGGTATACTGCTGCGTCACTCTAAAACAGCTCTTTATGAAGAAATCAATTTTCTGACAGTTAAAAAAAAAAAAACAAATTCTATTCCTTTATTGGACTGGATAAGGAAACCAAGCTATTATTCAATTACGAACATACTACTTTATTGATCTAATTAAACTTACATTCTATCAGTAGTCATTCTATCATCCAGTGTATGTTATCTCAAGTGTCACGCTAAGTTGCACAAACCCATTAACAAGACTTAGTAAACTCTATTCATTTTAGTACTCCACAGCTCGGGATTAAAAATAAATAAATAAAGAAAGAAAGAAAGTAATAATAATAATAATGATTGACGACAACGACGATGATAATGGTGGTGGTGGTGGTGGTGGTGGTGGTGTGGTGATGATGATGATGGTGATGGTGATGATGATGATGGTGATGGTGATGATGATGATGATGATGTGAACAGCAAGGTGACACTTTTTTACTAAATGTAGCATTAGATCAATAATTTCTACAGTTGACAAAAATCAGCGTCTGCTCGACATGAAAAACACCTGAATTAGTCCACAACAGGCCAACTCTATGTTAATATTACTTACATCTTAGATCACGCAAGTCAAACTCAGCATCTCAAATGGACCAAATAATTATCGGTATAGAAGAATGCACGCTGCAAGGAAAAAAAGCCGTCTTTATGTTTAGCGATGTACTTGAAAAGTGTGTAAATATATATCATTTTATCTAATACTATAGCTCTTTAAAAACTTTGAAGGAACATAAGAAAATATAGGTAGTAGATGTCTAGGTATTGTTGCTTCTCTGACATCTGGCATCTTTTTTCTGGAACCAAATATTGGTTGTTTGAAAACATGCTGTTCGCACTAACAATTTTCAGAACGAAAGTCAGATAAATATCTGTTTTGTAATCTCGCTCGGTATTTATTCATTTTCATAAACGAAAAACGCAGTTCACATTGATACGTACTCCTTAACATGGAAATCACACGCGACGCAAATTTTCGACTTTCTGAGAAAAAATATTTGTAAAATTCGGGGGGTACCCACTAAATGTTTTCTTTAGAGCCGAATCGCGTGAATTTCTATTACAGGGGTGGCCAAGCTCCTTGACAGTCCGAGCCATTTTTCAAAATTTGAAATTTTTCGTGAGCCGCAATTAAATACGTATTTAAAAGGTATGCAAAAAAGATATTAAAAAAATTTTTTTACAGAAATTATATTTATTGAAAACATATAAATAAAAGTACATAATGTGTGTATTGAATTTGAATATTAAAAATTAAATACATTTATTTTACTTCTCTTGATAATTCTTTAAAATTTGATGAATAATTGGTGACAGCACTTCTCAGTAATTCTTTGAGATGCTGGTTAGTTAATACGGATCGTTGTTTGGATTTCACGAATTTTAAAGTGGAATAAAATGATTCACATAAGTACGTTGTTCCGAATATTGAAATAATTCGACAAGCAGCCTTTTTTAATTCAGGATACTTTGATTCTGGTACAAATTTCTAAAATTCAGTAATCAGCGTCGATTCAGATTTTTAATTGTAGAGCTTAAAATTCTTGCATCTCTATTAATTCTAATTCTCCAGATGCATTTTGTGTCATAATTATATTGGAAATGGAAAACTCACTTTGAATTATGTTAATTTCAAAATGGATTCAGAAAAAAATCAAGAGACGATGGACGAAAATAAAATTTGTTACAAATTGCACTTTGTCTTTCATATTTGTTGTCTGTAATTTAAAAGACATTTTGAAACACATACTGAACGATGATAATTTTTTTTAAATATAATAACACAAAAATGAAAAGGGAACTGGGGTACATTTATTGTAAGCCACAAATAATACTTCAAAGAGCCGCATGTGGCTCGCGAGCCCCAGGTTGGCCACCCCTGTTCTATTAGTTCCACCTGCAAATATCTGGCATATTTCTAACGTTGGTTGAAGAAAGGGCAGAAAACTGTAAAAGGTTATTTTCTATAGATCTAATATCGTGGAACTTTTCTTCGAGTTCAGTTTTCACACTTGAAGCTTGTCCAAACATTTTTTTTCTACACTAAACGGACTCTATTTTGTTATTTTTTTATAGTCCCAGCCTTTTTCATTTTCTCAAGGTGAACCAAAGGCCACGGAAAAAGGAGTCGAGGGCGCCTGGCGGGCTATGAGCTTGTTACGCTTGCCTTAGATGGGATCGCACGAGCACATTTTTAAGAACAGTTGACGAACAACATCGATTCATGCTGCGCACTTCGACCACTCATCAGCAAATTTTTCTGTGATTCTAGCAGCAGCATAAATTTCTGTTAAGGATTGTCTGTGCTGCCGATTCTTAACTCCACTTGCTTGGAAATTAAATTTGAATAAACATTCGTTCTGGAAGAAGCACAGTGATAGAAGCGACAATAATTACAATATACAAAATATAGAATAGCTACAAGAATATTCAGTTCAAAACTCAGCTTTCTTCTTAAAAGCATTCTCACTGGACGTGGATGCATGGTCAGCAGTTCGCAAACCATTACAACAAAATCACAGTGACTGAGTACCATGCTCTATAGGGGAAAAAAATGATACTTTTACGAAATGTAAAGGCGCGGTGAGATAGCTTCCCCGCAAAGCAGTTTTAGGGTTGCCATAAAATGGCAAGTGAAAGCAGGGTTGTCACATTTTGCGAGAAATAAAAAAATTGGCGATATTTGGCGACAAAATTGGCGATATTAAATGGACGGATGGAAAATCTTCTGGAACGAATTCTTTACCGGTTTAGCCCAGAATATTCTCGAACACAAGCCGAAAGGTATATAAACTCTGCTGGTTCGCAGTCAGTGTAAGATTGCGAGATAGTAGTATTGAGAGTGTGTCTCGTCTAGCGAGTCAGTCCGTGCGGAGTCGATCGAGTTGACAGCCGGGCAGCGAGTGCCGAGTGGGTCGTCGAGTGCACCGAGGAAGTCTGTTAGTGTATTGCGGTTAGTGCATCGTCGAGAGAGCGTGTTGAGCTCCGGAAAAGACTGAACCGAAGAGTCAGGAGCTGTGCTCGTGTGTCGTCGAGTGCATCGCGAGTTGTAGTGTGCAGAGTCTCAAGAGTACGTGCAGTTCCGAGAACGACCAAGCAGAGTCTGGAACTGTAGTCCGGAAAGCAGAGTCGGGTGCTTGGCAGGAAGCTGTCTCCACCGTGATAGCCTGATAACCTGAAGGCTGTGTCGCTGATCGTGTTCCAGCGTGTTTATAGTAGATTTTTGACGACTGTAAACGTGACTTTGGAGCTGTCCTGATCAGTATTGGCTAAATAAAGTGTGTTTCGATACTTCATCAAATGTCGTCGTTATTCACTCCAAATCTACGAACCCCGTACGAACGAGAAGGAAGAAAATAACGCAACAACTAGTGTCAGAAGAAAAAAAAGTAACAATACATTAAAATTCTAATGTTTGATCTAGCAATGATCTTCTAACAGTGTTTAAGTGTCAGTTGTATTAAGTGAATAATTACCATATACATACTTACGTTTTTAAAATTTTTTTCCCCATTTTTTGTCGACAGACAGAAAGAAATGCCTTGCACACTGCCTGGCACGGCTTAACCGAGAGTTGTCCCTCCATGCCTGAATTCGAGGACATGAACTCAACATACGGCAACCGTTACTCTTTGCAAACTTGTGACATTCATTACTTGATGTCCATCTTCGTAAAGTACTGCGAGTGCCAAGCCGTAGTATTCCCAGGTAAGACTGCTAAGTTGTTATTGATAACACGGTGAGTTTACTAAATTTAAAAACTATACCTTTTTTTTTCAAGAGGTTACAGACGAAAACCTGGCAGCAAAAACATCGCAGATGAAAACGTCTCAGAGAAAACAACGCAAGGCGAAAACGTTGTCGTACAAAACATCGTGGGTGGAAACTTTGCAGTTCTAAACCATCAGAGTACATAACATCGTTGTCGAAAATAAATCTATTGAAAAACTTCATAGTTTAAGAACATCGTCGTCGAAAATATCCTGGGAAATAGTAAAGCACCTGCAAATCATTGCATGACAGTAACATAGCAGACATGCCTTTTCCAGGCTTTAAAAGTTGTAAATGCATATTTGCATCATGATTTGTGAGTACAAAAAACAATGAAGAATATTTTTACTTTATATGTTTGAATTAATTAATAAATAAAAATTAAGAAGGATATTAAGCATTCAAAAACTGAAAATGAGTTGTAAATTAATATTACTTACAAGAGTTGACAGAATTTTATAACTCGATAATTAATTAAGCAATTTTAATAGAGTTACCCGATGTAGTTATTGCTTCCCTTTTCTAATCTATTTTAGACTACATTTTGCATGAAAAATTACCAATAAAATCTTACAAAAGAGATTAAATATTATTGATCTTTATTAGTTAACCATATAAGTTTAGGATTTTATTAACTGCTATACCTAGCATTATTTTTCTACTTCTTTTCATTTTTTGAACTTGATTTTTATTTTTCAGCAAATATTTATTAGTTATACAAGATAATGAAATATAAAAGTAAAAATAGTCCTCATTCCTTTTTGACCACATAAATCATTATACGAATATGTATTTACAACTTTCACAGCCTGAAAAATGCACGTCTGAGATGTTATCGTCATGCGATGATTTGTAGGTGCTTTATTTTTTACCACAATATTTTCGAAGATGATGTTTTAAACTGCGAAGTTTTTGAGATACGCTTTATTTTCGGAGATGATGTTTTGCCCCACGATATTTTAGAACATCAATGTTTTTTCCCTTGCTTTGTTTTGCCCCCTCGATTTTTCGCAAGACAACATTTCAGCCTTGCGTTGATTTCTACCCTACGCTTTTGTCGCGATGTTTTCGGCGAACACCTTTTCAAGCAGTCCTAATCAACTCTTGGTATAGTAGCAAGTGGAAAGATTACAAAAATGCCTCAGCTTTTTCTCATTAAAATATTCCAAATCAAACTAGTCTGTACTGCCTTTTGTCTCTTTAAAGAAGCAATTTCATATAAAATACCACCTTCAATAACAAAACACACACACAGAAAGGAAAAGAAAGGTTTCAGATTTTAAATTACGTCCAAAGGGGAGTTTTTTAACGTTTTGTGTGTTACCTTTATTTATTAAATTTCATGTTCTTTGCACTTAAACCATAAAATTCAGTTCAGTAGCAACGTTGAAAAATAATTTTAAAATGAGCATATCTTTAGAATTTCCAATACACTCCGTGCTGGAGATAAAAAAGGTCCCCCCCCCGTTAGAGTGTTGCCATTACTTGCTTTTAAATCGTTGAGTTTGTTAATTAAAAATTCGTTAAAGTTTTACAAAATATGAAATCGATAATAAAACAAATTCAAAAATTTCAAATTTGGCGTTCCACATGCCCATATTCGTAGGAGGATTACGTCATTCAAAATTCGATGGCTTTATGTACCGTTGTTTTATCACAATGCGAGAAATATCCATACATTTATGCAGATTTTTCATTATTTAATTTCTTCAAACATAATGAAGGACTCTAACTTTTGGTGGCAACAGTTTGAAAAGTGAAACGGACATTTATAGGGATTCAACGCCAAATCGCAAAACGAAAACAATAGTCCTTCAGGGACAAAGCCCTTTTGGACTAAAAAGAAAGAAGGAAAAAAGTTGTGTAAGTCATCTTACCAAGAAACCTGAACACTGATAATGTGAACTGACAAAAAGGACTGAAAAAAAAATTAAAGCCACATTTAACATTGTATCGGGAATTATAAATATCTGCTGCCTTTAAAAAATTCTGTGATTTTGCTGATTCAATTTTATGTGGCGTAAATGTTAAGAAAATGACCGTAGGTCATCTTGTTAAGAAAATTGAATATTGGTATAATGGGCTGAGAAAAAGACTCGAAAAAATAGGACAATGTCGGGAAACGCCTAACACTCTATCGGGAATTCTAAAAATGTGCTGCTTTTAAAAATTTTGTGGTTTTACAGTTCAAACTTATGTAGCGTAAATGCGAAGAAAGATATGTTTAATAATAAAGTTAAAAAGATAAAAAAAATGCTGTGTGTGCAGTATTGAGTGCAAGAGTAAATTCAAACTGCGAAACTCAACGAGAGCCTAAAAATATCTGGTGTGATGTTAAAATCCGAATCCTTTCATATTTTCCCCCTTTCTATTTTTCACACATTTTGATCTAACACGGTTTATAAAAAATGTCTCTTTCTATCTCAACATGATTTATTTATTTATTTATAGAAGTCTTCGAAATTATTTGATTGTTTCTCGCTTGCAGGTAATACCACTAGAAGGTTATGCGATCCAGCAGACATATATCACTGCGTTCTTGTTGCTTACGCCAAAGATAATCGTAAGTAAACACAGAGTTCCGAGTATTGCTTTTTAGAATGAATTTTTAGTTAAAAGCATTAAAATCCGTAATGGAATTTTGAAGCACATGCCTTAAATTCTATATTTAGATACACTTTCAATACAAGGCTGCAAGTCAAGCACTCTGATAAAGCTGCTTTTTTAAAATTAAGTGCTACCTAACCTAATGTACAGTTACATTCTGTCTCCAATAGTAAAAGCCTGTGACTGAAAAGAAAATTGCAATTTTTAGCAATACAAATGGCCCCCCGAAACAATTTGAAAGCTTTTTGATTTTATATTACGCCTAACAGGGCATTTTTGTAACGTTTTGTTTGTTACCTTTATTTATTAAATATCATGTTCTTCGTGCTTAAACCACATAAAATTCAATTCAACAGCAATATTACAAAATATTTAAAAACAGCATATCTTTAGAATTTCCGATACACAGTCTCGCGCGCTGGAGATAAAAATTTTTTCGTACAGTGTTACCATTGCTCGCTTCGAAATCGCTGAGTTTGTTAATCAAAAATTCGTTAAAGTTTTACAAAATTTTAAATACGAGGGTTGGAACTTTAATAGTGGCAACACAGCTGAAAAAACGCTACGCAACAAAACCAAAGAATATCGCGTATACCACACGTAAACTACATACCTACCTTACCTCTCAGCAAAAAGACTCGTCCTGCCTACATCACGCGCATGCGGAGTGATGCGAAGAACGAATCCTTGTATTAGCTCGCGGTCTAAAGTAAGTGTTGTCAGGATGTTTTCAAAACAAGAACAACGATGTTGGATAAAAATTGAATGTGCCAGAGGTCGTACAGCACGACAGTGTCATCAAGGGCTTCAGGGGGCTTGCGGGGAATCTGCATTGCCTTACAGAACCGTAGCAAGATGGGTGAAATCATTCAATGAAGGACCCCAAAACGTGGCAGACATGCTGCGGCCAGGTCGTCCGAGTGTCAGCGATGCAGACGCGCAAGCTGTTGCCGCACTAATGAACAGTGATCGCCGCCAAACGATTCGTCAGCTGGCCGGACAAACAGGATTACTACTGTGTTGCACATTCTGAAGGAACGCTTGTCCATGAGAAAAATTGCTTCACGATGGGTTCCACATCAATTGTCGCACATGCAGAAATGGCTACGATATGATGGTGCCCGAACCCACCTGGAGCGCTATGAGCGCGAAGGAGATGCTTTTTTACGCCGTATCATTATGCTGGATGAGACTTGGGCCCGATCGTACCAGCCAGAACTGAAGGGTCACCACAACGTTCGAAATTTCGTCAGAACCCCAGCAATGTGAAAGTTATGGTGATTCTCGTGTACGACTGTGATGGTGTCATCCTAACGCATACCGTTCGCATGTAAGCAAAATGTACACTGCTAGGACAACGGCTTGAATTTGGCCAATGACAGTTCAGACGAGGGTCCCATTAGCTCCGCTCACATGAGTGACGTCATATTTCTGACGTTTGTTTACATTCTACTGTTCGGAGTTACGAAGTGCTTTTTTTGAATGTACATTTAGTTTTTTGGAATAAAAGTGTATATATATGCGTATATATCTGTATATAACGATTTAATGTTTGTTTCGGAATATTAAGGATGATTCTACTGTTCCAATACAAAATTAGGTCTAGTCAGATAGAAGTTACTGATGGCTGGAAGATACATGTAAAGTGTAGTTTACAAATTATACTGCATATTGATAATCAGAAACTTTTAAGTGATAATGACTTAAATCATCTACTATATAAAATGTACCTGCGGGAATTAAACCAAGTGAAGTTAATGTTAAGTTAGTGAATCCAAGTGCTATTTTGTGTCAGTAATTAATGCAGTAAATATTTTGAATCAAAATGCCACCAGTAACTATTGCAATGAATTGACATAGTGTGTGTCAAGAAATCCTTAAAATACATTTCATATATATCTATCTGAATATTTACAACATTAATTGTGCTTTAAGAAATCAATATGCTTTCTTAGAAATAAACTTCATTTCATTATTAGAACGTAAAGAGTATAAAAAGATGAAAAAGAGTGTGTCCACTCTAATGAACATATTGAAATGTAATTTAGCTGTGAAAACTACTGAAGTTAAATGATGAACATGTTATTTAATAAGAACTGAATATATTTAAGATATGCTACCAGCTCTGATATTTCAAGACTGTTGGATATGCTTATCTATGAAGATTAAATCACTATTAACTGACAAATTATGGTTCTGGTAAAGCATATATCATATTTGGAATCGTAGAAAGGAAGTTCATTATTTTTCTGAAATGTAAAGAAAATAATACTGAATAACTGTAAGTGCTTAGTGTTATAGACCTACTGAAATCTAATTTAGCTATAAAACTGCAAATGCTAAATGATGTTGAACATAATTTAACAAGAACTGAATTTAGAAAGATATGTTACCAGTTATGCTATTTCAAGACTATCGAAAATGCCTAATAATGAGGTATCATTACGTGTTCTAAGGTGTAATGTTGAAATGAATCTAATAAGTATACTTTTATTTCCTGGAAACGTACCTTCAAATGAATTGTGTGAATGTGTGTTTATAGTTCTTTACATCTAGTTAAATACAGTGATCTTACATAAGCCAAAACTGAATGGATTAAAAAAATGATCTTAAAGTTGTATTTCAAATTTTACATTTTGTCATATTAAAGACTGATTACGTGGGTTTCCACTGATGGTTGGACTTAATAAAATATGTCTTGAACAGGCAATTTTTTTTTCTTTTGAGAAAAAGCATTTAATATTGATTTTCTTACATTAGTATGTATTTTTAACTGTGAAGTTTGTGCATTTAAAAATTGTAATGACATGCAGATTATTATATTTTCATTTATTTCCAATTTCATTAAAAGTATTTTTTTACAATTTACTGCCTGATTTTATACATTATATGTATGAGTAATAAATAATTATTGTAAATATGCTATGTAACTTATATTGTGATCTTTATATTGAAACAACTTATATATGTATGAGTCATGCATCAACTCATGGCAATTGAAATCAAATTGTTAGTAAGAAATTAATGATAATAAGATGCATTGATGTATCTAATAAGATGTATTATTGATGACAGTACATAAAATTAATCAAAATGTAAACTTGTAATATTGAAAAATTTCTCTCTTAAGTAAAATTATTGCCACTACATAATTTCAGCACAAACTAAATATTACAGTATATAAAAGAATACAGTGTATTGCCTGTAAAATTAATGATACTTACAGATTAACACAACCACCTTAGCTCAATTTGGATTTAACACATGAAAATGTAAAAATTATTCATTGGGTGCAAGTTGATGGTTTTCACAACTTTTCTTAAATAGATACCCAAATTATTGATATTTATCATAAGTTGGCTTAAGATTATCAAAATTATGAAAAGAAAACATACTTTAGAATTTGAAATATAAATTTTAATTATTAAATAAGGAAATAAAGCACGTTCATCTCCAAATCTTTCTGTAATTGGTTTTGCCCTATTCTTTTCCCAAGCGGTTTGTTTTTGCTTAAAAAAAAATTAAATAATTTCAGAGACTCGGCATCACACAAACTTCAGCAGCATCAGCTATCTACCAAATGCATTTCCTTTTTCTTTCTTTTAGAAATTTTGTATTCCTGTAGAGTTTCCACTGTAGTTTTTTCCATTGTTGATAAATTCCAAAGAGCATATTTTAAAATTAAAGGCAAAAAAAATATCACAATTTGTTGAAACTTTAAAAAAATGTTGAAACTTGAAATACAACACAAAATGTGTATACGAAAATGGCGACATTGTGCCTATTAAAGGATTGTTATGAGCATGGTTGCTAGAGTTTGGCACATTTTAAAAATTTGACGAGTTCTACTGAGGTGGTTGCAAGTAATAAATTAATTGCATTGTAATATGTGCATTTTTACTGTTAAGAATATAAAATTTTTGCTTATAATAAATATCTGAATATGCTAATTATTTATTTGCCCTCTTATGTAATTTTGATAAATTAGACACTATTTATTTTACATCAGTAATCTTCAGACTAATTTTAAATTTAGTTTCAGTGTGAATTTCTTTTGTTCTCTGCTTTCTTATGTTTAAATTGACGTCATGTAAAGCAACATAAAAAATAAAACTATTAAAAAAATATATGAAAAGCAAACAAATGAACAGATATGAAAATTTATCAGTTCAGTTTCATAGATATTCCGTACAATAAAACCCTAAGTTAATTAATAGGTGAAACTAATGAAACGTACAACTTCACATACAGGATCTGTCAGAAAAATACATAGAAACTTTAATAGATGATATCTATATATTGGTTTCTAAGTTGAATTATCTTTATAATATGTAGTATGATTTTCATACTCTCGCATATATGTAATACATGACAGTGAACCAAAATGGATTTGGAGGACTCTGAGAGATGTTGTGTAGTACAAGAAATCGGTTAGGCTAGAGGTCCTTCATCAAAAAATTATAGCAGAATGTGCAGCAGTCGCCTCAGACACATCGACTAAACATTGTTCAAATAGCTGCTCAGTATTGTGCTATAACTCTAGCTGTTAATGGCTACCGCTGTGACTGAGCAATCTAAGTAACTGTACAGGTACATATTCATAAATATTTTTATTAAACCTAGCATAGCCTCTGATATGTATGATTTAATTATAATTAAGTTCAATACTAAAGCACAAGAATTTTCTGCTAATCTTTGGAATATGGTAACAGGTAGTTTGGCGACATTTTGGTAAGGCGATAAATGTTACTAGCTAGGACTTTAGCAGTGTACATGGATAAAGTCAAGAGTTTGTGCAATGCCATTTTTGTGCAATTCTGGGATGTTTTTTTAAGTGAAAATAGGTCGACGTGTACATGGATACTGTGTATGTGCAATTCTTAAAAACGCGGCAAGCGATTCTGCACTTTCTCCCAATTTCACACCTAATCTTTGTCATGATTAAGCACTTTTGTTCCATAAAA